GTATCTTAAGCATAAGGCTCAGGACCACAAAGACCAGCTTTATTTTCACTGATCTCTTTTTTCCCCAATCAGGATTATATTCTGAGAGAAGAATCATATCAGGGCATAAACAGCTCAAGGTGGTCCTGAGATTACTTTTTCAAAAGGATCCTGCCACATTACAAACTGCTTAAAGACTATGAAACCCACACTGAGTCCAGTTTTTAAGGACAGCACTGAGAGACTGCTGTAGCAGACCTATGCTACCAAACGCGGTCTCCTAAGGGTTCTGTACCAATGGCAATGGACTCCTCACTTCCTGATGGATCTGCTCAATCTGGAGGTAAACTGTTTCACTTTGAGAAATGGAAGAGTCCAAGCCAATCCTTATCGGAACCTTACACAAATTTCCACTTTATATCTTACGTGGTTCAACTTAGTTCCCTGGGAGATAATAGCACAGACCCATTTCAGCTGGAAAAAGACCTCTAAGATAATTGAGTCCAGTCTTTGACCGACCATCAACTTGTCAACTAGACTAATTGCCAAATCCAGTCCTTTCCCGAACACCTCTATGGATGGTGACTCCACCACCATGGTGACTCTTATCATCAGCAGATATAAGAAGCCTTCAGGAATAACTGACATTCTAGATTTTTACTTTTTAAGGGTGCTTCTAATTTTTCTTCTTATACTTACATCTCTGCCAAGAGTGTACGCGCTCCACAGAGCCATCCTGTAGTCCCTGCTGTACCCGCTCACGTAGCGGTAATGGTAAAGGAGGCAGTAATTATGTTTTTTCTGCAGAACCCTGGGCCGTCCGTAGGGTAAATTAAGTTCCTTTGTCTTCTCAACTGCAACAGAAATAGTGCTTATTGCTTTTCAATTAATACTGGTTGTTATGTACCCTCCTCTTTTATACACCTAAGGCTGCCTTAATTTTCAATAGTCAAGCAAACAGAAGCCACAGAAATGGAAAAAAAAAAATTCATTATTTTATCAAAGGCATAGTTTCTAGGTTAAGGCAATAAATTAAGTGATGAAGCCAGGATAAAAGAATCGTTTAAACTTATACTGCACTAATTAAGCTTATATTTAAACCAAAACCTTTTGCGGCTAAAAACAGGAGATAAATTCAAGTTGCAAAGTTAAAGTCTTTGTTGACTTTGTGTTTCAATTTAAAAATGTGGGATCACCAGAAACCAATTCTGGTGATTTGAAATTACTATTTCAGTAGAAACCACATGGTTGTATGTAAAAATGCATTTAAAAGACTAGGAAATACAGAGATCTAAATAAAAAATACAGTGAAGTATTGGACTGGATTTTCAGCTGTGCAAGGACTCACTACTTTGCCTTTGAAGATTCAAATATTTTCAATCATTACATGAATAAAATTATCAAGAAGGTGTCAAAGTGTATCTTCCATTAAATAGGTCCTTACCATCCAAAAATAATTATACAGTTTAAAGGCAAATGTATTACATAGGGAAAGAAATTGAGCAATGAACATGCAGGGTTTTTTCCACAGTACCAAAAAAGTTTGAAGATTATGACAGTTACTTCTCCACCCATGAGGGAAAAAAAAAACCCTTATTTTTTTCATTAAAGTAAAAATGCAGTTAGAATTTTTTGTCCTTACAGACTGTCAAGTTGCAACAATCAATGAGAGAACATGCAAACTGAAGTAAGTAATAAACTCTATACAGTCTTAAGGCACTTCTAGGCTGTTTACTAGAATTCTTTCATCTGTGAAATGCTTTAATATCTGATTAGTTCTTAATCAATACAATTCATAATGAAATTATTACTGTTAAAACAGTGCTATACCAGGCCTCACTGATAATTCAAGACAAAATCCTGCTGCTTCAAAAATGTAGGTTTAGAGCCTTAAGTTCCTATTTCTACAAAAGAGAACTGAAATATGTTATTGTGTCTGGCCTTGTCAAGTTTCTTCAAAGCCAGGTTAAGCAAAGCCCCCCGAGATACTCAGTCTGTTTTAGCAAAACCCCTGGCACACTTTGGAGAAAACACATCGTATTGTTCTAACTGGATTTGATTTTGTTGCACTCATGAGCATTAAAATACTCAAAGACTTATTTTAAAAGGGTTCTGGGAGACATTTTAAAATGATGACCTGTCATTAGTGGAAAACATTCAAGAAAGCTGTATCCACTCTTTGTTTCAGGACAAACTACACAAATCAACAGAATCCTTGAATTAGCCCTGGATAAGGAGCAAATACTGGACCCTGCCAGTAAGTGGCATTTATGTCCAGTTCTGAACAATAGTGAGTTATAGTGGGGTGTTGCCAAATACAGCTTATTTGCTTAAAACCTCCAAGGTTTCATGAACCGACACACACACACACACACACACACACACACACACAGATGAGGCAAGGTCTCTATCAGCCTATTTCTGGCATCTTGATCTTCTTGATGTCATCTATTAAGGCATTAGCACCTGGGACTAGGTTCCATTTTGACTTACAGTTTTCATTTTTTACTTGCTGTTTTACCTGTTTCATGCTCAAAATAGTTTACTTTGTTTTATGACTCGTGAACACATCTACAGCCTTGCAAACTGCAGCTTAAACATGGCACGTGTACGTCCAATGAATGGAAATAAAGCATAAGTAAAAGAAGTAACAACTCAAGACCACTTAACAAACATATAAAATACTCCTTTTGCCTCATTAAAAGTATGCTGCCATTATGGGTATCATTATTTGCATTGATTTGCTGTCAGGTACTTCCCCATACAACACTCTTGGTTCCCACTCTGGAATGCTCATTACTTCAGTACTAGAGAAGTCAAAAGTAACAGATAACACATATGCCATAAAGACACACGTATAAGGATACACATTTACCTGAGAACAAATGGTTCAGGAGGACTGTATTCAAAAACATGAGAATCATAGAATGGTATGGGCTGTAAGAGACCAAAAAGACCATCTAGTTTCAACAACCCTGTCAAGAGCAGGGACATCTTACACTAGGCCAGGTTGTTCAAAGCCCCATCCAACCTGGCCTTTAACATTTCCAGGGGTGAGGCATCCACAAATTCTCCAGACAGGACTATAGTTCCAGCAAGTACTTAAAAGAATTTTCACATAATTTACTTGAGAGTTGCTTGGAAGTTTAAAAACGTAAAAATATTTGACAACTAATAATTTGTTATTGTTAGCTTTTAAATTTTATATTATTATCTGAAATTCTTACCTTCTGTTTCAGTAAAATTTAAACGCTGATGAAAATCCCTTATTGGCAAGCCCTATAATAATAAAGGACAAGCAGTGAGATTCTACAAAGCACCTGATGAGTCGGTACCACACTTAAATGTAACTTCTGTTTTACAAGTTATACATACACAGAACTCACTGACATGTACTGGAGAGGAACTACAGGAAATTTCCAGTAACAAATTGGTTTTACCACAAGCAAATCTACAGGCTCAAAAATCACAGCCCAAACACAATATTCACAGAATAGAAATTTCAACATAATTGAGGCAAGCCAAGAACTGAATGCTTTCCCCATCAAGCTTCTCTGGAGTTTTTCCAGGCTCTTCAGAAATTAATGTGACTTAACACAAGCAATCTGCAAAAAATTAATACACAAATACAGGATAGCACTCACTAACCCCAAGCAAGATTTGATTTTGAAACCAATAGTAAGAGACTGTAAAACTATCTGGAGAATGAAAAGTTGCAGTCTTTAAATACAACACAGACTTCTGCCTTCACAATTTTAACCATTTCAGCACTTACCGCTGTCCTGCAGGAGCAGCCAAGGCTCACTGAAAAGGCTCTTTCTCTCACCACAGAACATTCAGAAGGATGACTTGTTTCTTTGGGATGGTGGGGGGTGTAAACAGGGTGCTTTAATAGATGGTTTAGGCGTCCATGAGTTCCATTGTTTGGGGCTGGCTTCACACCAAGCAAATCTATGAAAGAATTCAAGTGATATTAACAGGAGGAGAAAGATTGTAATGCACAGTTGATTATATTGTGCTTACAAGCATGGATGAGACAAAGCTTCACTGCCTGCTGCTCATAACAACCAAAAAGAAAAGCAATGTAGCCTCTTTAAAAGGGTCCACACACATTCTTAGCTAGTGTTCAGTATGGTACTAATCTTCTTGTAAGGTTGAGCAAGTCGCTTGAATACAGCCACCAATCTCAAGCATTTGCAGTACTCGTATGTATTTTCTGGATCAAACTCTTTTGTATACTTTTCTTCTCACAGAAACAGTACAGGTTCTAACCAGAGAGGGAAGTAGGCAGGAAATAATGGAAAACAGGTGAGGACCTCAAGGGGAATAAATGAACAGAAAGTGGTAAATCTAGTGACAGACTTTTGGAGAAACCATTAAATACAGAATGAAGAACGGCCACAGGAATAAGGAGTCACAGTAACATTGTGTTTGAAAGAGGAAGGAAAGGAGGTTTCGCTTCATGATGGTAGAGAGATTTTGAAGCAGCCATTTTTAGTAGTGGTGAGTCAAAGCACCAGCTGGGGAAAAGCCAGAGGAATACAGAGTGTGACCAGTGAAAAAGAGATAGACAAGGTAGCCAGACCAGTAGATCTTAAACTGCTGTTAGTCATTTAGAGATGGCCCTTTCTCAGAAAAACAAACAGCTGATTTGTGAAAATCAGCAGCAATTCTTAAGGATGAGTTTCTGAGGACACTTAACAATCTCTTAAAATATATTATACCTTACTGAACAAAACTGACCCCCATCCATTGTACTTACCACACATTAAATTATATACTTCAATGTTTTCAAATGGATCGACTTGAGTACCAGACTTGAATCCTGGTCCAAAACCAATAAAGATAGCCTAGGATTTACAGAGAAAAGTATAGTGGAATTCTGTTTAAGACAAATTGAAATGAAAATTATCTTTACACTCAGAGGGCATTTTCTTCCAAGAACTTAATCTTGGAATCTTAATCTTTTTACCAACACAGTATGTATCAAGTCAAAAGCATGTGGTTTTCTTTTTTTTAAAAAAAAAAGTAGATGTATAAGAAGAATTTTCAAAAGTTGTAGAAGAGTACTAGGAAACCCAATTCTGTCTCATTGTTGCCTTTAGCCATTTATGATGTCCCTTGCTCTTCTCTGCTTTTGAAGAAAAGGTATTTTCTTAAATGCTTTAAAAGATTTAATGGAAATGTTGATCCAAAGTAACCATCACATGTCACATCCTGTAAACAATTTGGAAGCTTTTAACTTGGGGCTATAAAAACATCTGTTGGTAGCAATGCTTTAAGTGGTTTAAGCAATGGTAGGATCGTAGGCTTCCATGCCTGGTTTGCAGCTGTTTTTTCTTCTTGCACCACTTCCTGAGCTGTACTGGGCCTGATCCAGGAATGCGGCCAGCTCAAAAACCTTTCCTTTTTTTTTCCTACTGGCTCTTTTCCTTCTGGTTCAATTTCCCAACCTACTTGACACTGCAGCCTTTTTTTTTTCCTGCTGGCTCTTCTCCTTCTGGTTCAATTCCCCAACCTACTTGACACTGCAGCCACCCAAATGTTACACCAGCATATGCAGGGTTTGCTGCATGAGCAAAGAGGCAAGGGCAACAAATGCTTAAGCTCAACTGCTGCCAAAAATATTGTTTTAAAACTTATCCTCAGTTATTCAGCTTATTTTTAATGAAGAGAAACAGATTGCACACATCTGTGGTATCAAGATACTGGATGAGTGACGGATGTTTTACACTGTATAGCTCAGCCCTGGAAAAGATCTCCAAGCTCTTTGCGAACAATGCAATTGTCTCAAATTTCATAGCTGTGTGGCAAAAGCAGAGGCTAAAACTCAACTCTTAACTCCTTTTTTTGAGATCAAAGCATAACACAGGGCATTATTTTGCAACTGTTGATACTAGAATCTGCAGGCTAATAATGTGCTCAACCAGCCTAATTTGAACCAGATGAGGCAGGGACATGCTACCTCCTTTCTGTTGTTTTTGGTAACAGAGTACAAAATACTGTTATGTTGCTATAATGGTAGCAACAAAAAGGATAAATTATATCTGGTTTAGGACTTGTTAGGGGTGCTATGAACTGACAATCCCAAGTGTGGCAAAAAAGTCTGAATAGAGTCAACCTACTGAAAAAAATTTACAGTCAAACTGCAGCAGAGAGAGATGGAATACATATGGCATCACAGGGCTTGCTGATTGCAACCCATTACTAGAAACACTATCAACAGGTTTTCCATTGTCAAATCAGGGAAGAAATATAATCCTGGAAGGGTAAATTGATACAATTTTAAAAACAGTTTGGTGCCAAAGTGATATAACTCTACAACACATGAAAAAAAAAAAGGCATTTAAGAAAGAAAATTATTGAAAACAAGTTTCATGAGAAGACCTACAAAGTCCATGTAATACATTAATTTCTCTTTATAAAAGTATTTTACACATATTCACTGTATATAGTTCTAAGTACCTCACAATGGTTTGTGGATTTTAATCCTTCACACAGCTTTTTGAAATCAAGAACATTGGCTTTCGTTTTCTTGATAGCAGAAAATAAGACAGAGGATAGGTTAAGTGACATCCCCACTTAAAACTGAGGATCTGATTTCAAGTTTCCCTATGATCTCTTCCCATTTCTCATTAAAGAGAAGTTCAAGACTCTCCTTACTTTTGTGGGTTATCCAGCACGTGGCAATATCAGTCCTATAAATGTTTTATTTCTTTAACTGCAGATGGAATAATATCACAGATCTTAAATCAAACAAACAAAAACCAAACAAAAAACAAACCTCAACACCCAGCAAACACAGCATCTGGAAACAGAGGAAATTAAAAATAAGAGCTAACATAAATTTAAACCTCACCTGCATATTGGGGAAGCGATTGTCTGAGCCATGGAATCCACCTTTGCAGCTTTTAATCTCAAGTGGTTTTCTATTAAAAATACACAGTTTACATAACTCACAAATCACATCGGCATCAAGTACATTCTGTGATGATGTATTTACTTCTCTGTTAAAACATACTTAGAAGATTGTCCATAGAGAATGAGAAGTCTAGTGCTTGGGAAAAGAATGCCTTTAAAATTAGAATGGTAATTTTCTCTGCAAATGTTATCCCTTTGGAATTTTCATGTGTCTATCAGAGTCATTTAAAGTCAAATCACATGACATGAAAGAAGAAAATTCGTTTCAGGCCAAAAGATTTTCATTTCACTGTCACTTAAGTAACAACTTTACAGTACTTTAAGTATATTCTCAATATTTTTTAAATAAAAACACTAACCTAATTTAGACCATTTAGACGGGAATCTTACAGTCTAATAGAAACAAACATCTAACCTGTACTAGGTCCATACACACTATATAAACACGCAGTTCTATTAACCCAAACCTGATTTGCACAACTTGCACATATCTATAGTGTTACACAACAGGACTTACTGAAGGGCACTGAAAAACTCTTCCATGATGAAAGCCCTGAAGTATCACAGAGGTGCTCAAAATTAATACCATTACAACAGATACCACTGTTCTGGGACTTGTAAACGCTTTAATCAAAACACATAAAGTAATTAACTACCATGGACTCAGTTCAATGACTGACAAGACTGATTCAACCTAGAAATTATTTACATGCTCTGCTTTCATGGACTCACTTTGGAAATTCCAACAGCATGGCAAGATGTGCTCAAGTATCTGAGAGAAAGGACCTTAATTTCTAACCTGCCACTACCTCCATGCCCAGCAGGCAGAATATCAATAGCTGCCAGTTTAGAATTTAGCCTCCCCAGGCCAGCAAAACCCGTGGAAAAAAGAAGGCATTGTTCCTTTGCAATGTCCCTTTGCTATGACAAACAAGAATATCACACTCTAACAGCTATCACTGAACTCTAAGCACTTGGCAGAGAAAACAATAAATTATTTGTTGTACGGTTGGGTACTGAGAACTGAAACTTACCGAGCAAGCTGCCACTGGGAGTCTAAATAAAAGTGCAGCGGTTCGATCCGGTCATTATAGGAATAATGGAAACGCTTGGGCAGCAGCTGTTTCATATAAGCTTTGAAAGGCTGGTTTGGTTTTATGCACTGAAATGTTTACATTAAAACATAAGGAAATTTTGGTGAAATGAGTATTTTATGTCATCACAGTTCTTACAAAGTACATCAACTGCAAATGGTCTGCAATAACTTCCACTAAGAACAATGTAACTCCACCAGGTTTGGAATCATAAGATCTGAGATATATTAATGAATACTAAAATCACAAATACTGACTGGTTTTGGATTCAGTAGTTATTAAAAGATATTTAATATTGCATTATGGAAAAAAAATTTGGGTTTTTTTCTCTTACAACCTACATTAATATAGAACCAAATGGTACTGCCTGAAATTATAAAGAATTACACTAAGACATGAACATCATGATACTTTCACATCATGATACTTTTCACTTTTTCAAAAAAGTGATAAGAGATTGTCCAGTGCAAAAAGTCTACAGCTCTGTAATAGAGAAGGTAACAGACATTTAGGATTTTTAGACTGATCACACAGGGACAAATAAACTTTTTTATGAACCAAGATCCATTAATGATTTTAAAAAGGAAAAAATCTACAAAACAAAATCTCTACTGTAATATTGGAATTTTTGAATAATGAAGTCATCTATACAAACAGCATTGTTCTCACCAACAGCAGTGTCTGCACAAATGAGAGGCAAACAGATTACGGTGCAGGGATGAGAACAGAAGCCAGGGACAGAGCAAAAAAGCAAATTCATTACACTGCAACTGACACCCCCCCCCAAAAAAAAAAGAAAATTCAATATCATCTCTCAAAGCTGTTTATCAAAAAGGTGTGAGCAAAAAAATCCTGTGTGTGTCCTGGCAATAGAGCTGAGCTTTACACTGATGTGGCCCTCAGCTAGTATGGTCCAGATACACAAGTTCTCCAGTTGGAAGAAAAACACAATACAGAGAAATGAACACAAAGCTTTAGTTAATGCACAATCCAATAGCTGTATGTCACCCTATTCAAATTTCACCTTCCCCTGTGTGGAACTACTTTTGCTGTTGTTGCTGTTAACCGAAGGTCGAACACAAAATCAATTAGGTTGGAAAAGACCTCTGAGATCATCAAGTACAGCTATGACTAAACATCACCCTGTCAACTAGAAAAAATTCTTCCAGATGTCCAACCTAAACCTCCCCTGGTGCAGTATAAGATTATGTCCCCTCATCCTGTCACTGAATCAAAGTACACATAGTATGTAAATTGCCCAGAAAACAGCTAATGCTGTAAAATACCTATAAATGTCAGCAGAAATTAAGCTAGAGCAACAGATAAGACAACACTTACCGTGAGGTTTCTCACAATGCCTTCATAATTAACTGGAAGAATCATAGGTAAGTATTAGTCACCTAAGTTTAAAAAGATCAGATGTAAAATGAAAACATTCCCATCATGTAACACAAATTATAAGTTTCAATAAATATCTGGGTGTAAAAAATTATTTTTCCAAAGTGAAAACCATATAGAGCAAGATAATCCCTAAACTATCAAGTATTGCTTTTATAAAAGTTCAGTTCAGCCTCTCTTCCCCTTGATTACTTATTTACAGCTTTAAATTTAAACTATATTAGTTAAACTTTAGTTAAATTTATTAGTTAAAAGTTAACTATACTTACATTAAGCTATATTAGCCACAGTTAGAAAAATAATCCAAGAAGCAAGTTTTCAGAAAAAAAGCAACTAAATGCTGTGTTAAACCAAGGTGAATTTTTCTTTGCTAATAAGCCTTTAAAGAAAAAGACGCAAATGCAACTACCAGGACAGCAGTTTTGTTTAGCAAATACCCTTAGAAAGAAAGCCAAGCACCAGCTGGCTAAGTTTCAGATGCTTAGGCTCAAGCCAAAAGGGACCATTACATCATGTAGTTTGACATTTTGCGTAACACAGGCCCGCTACATTTCACAGTTACTCTGTCCTGACTCTGATATCCAACACTTGACTCAAGTACCTAAAGGATTACCCTGGCAAGCGAACCATTCATAATTCCTGCACAGATACATGCTATGCTACAAAGACAGCTGTGCTAATTCATTGTAATAGAGCACAGGTCCAAAGGAGGAGATGCGCCACTTCTCCTCTTCCTGAAGTTCTCCAGGGAGAATCTGACACTGCATTTGACTCCCATGTGCTCCAAGTAAACATTTTAAACAGTTTAGAATAGCATCAAGCAGTGAAGTAAACAGGACAAAGTCACTGGGGTTGAGGTCTACAAGTTTTAAAGGGCACAGAGAACAATAATCTCAACAGAAAAAAACCAACACACCCCAAAAAAATGCTATGAAACAAGAAGAAAGCTTCTGCACTCAACATTAAAAAGTACGAAAAATTGCAGGGATTAAACGTTAGCCTAAAATAAGACTGCTTAACAAATCAGCATTTAAAATTTGTAAATATTCATTGATTTTTTACTCTGTTTTATTATTTATGTTTACTCGTGGTTTACTCAGTTACTGTCAGGCTATTAGGCCCATTTTTTCTAACTAGGAAATATAATACTCAAAATAATATATAAATGACAGTAACAATTTAACATTTCTCTAAGACAGCAATATTGCAAATTTATGCAAAACTTAATGAATAAGGAAATGAGGTGAGATGTGAAGGAAGGATTTTTGGGCTGTCTTGTGCACGGGTGATCTTATTAGAAGGAATGCCATTCACAAGGCAGAAGGCATTTGCAGTTGGTAACTCTGAGACAGCTCACAAAATGTTTTCGTGTATTTGAATGTTGAATTCAAATACACTTTCAGACTTGGAAAGTCAAATGGTCTTTAAAAACACAATTGCACACACTATTCAGTATTTCCTCTTCATCGTTGTCCAGATTGTAGCTAAGTGCATTCACTCAAGTTTACTAATGGAATACGTGTAAGTATTTGTATTTGAATCCTAAGTTTGTATTTGAAATGTACAAAAACATATAACCCAATAACAAAAGTTAGTTTAGCAACTACATACAAGAGAAATACTCATCTGGAACATTATTAGGTCTTAGGCGAGCTGCAGGACCAGGTACAACTATGAAATCTTGGACATTGTCTAGATAGCTGTTCAGATATGCTGTTTTTCTGCAGCTCCCTACTTCCATCCCTGTAAAAGAAAATACATTTTCTTTTAAAGTGTAAAGTGTAAAGGAATATCAGTGTAGGAACCTTGCTAAGGAAACATGTAACTTCAGTTGTAGAGGTCAGAAATGTAATTTCTCTGATTTTTTTAACAGCAATCCCAAAGCATCTGACCCAAGAAGACCACAATACACATGCATAGAAGATAAAAAACCAAGCACAGATAAACACTATCAGCCAACTCAGCTGAGAAAGACTCTTCAATCTAATAAATAGACAAACTTTCTTCTCTAAAGGGAAAAGAACTATTATGAGCCTAAGAACAGTAGTAATGGTCAGACCAAACAGTAATTCAGCCCAGTATCCTACCTAATAATGTTCAGTACATATATAAAGAAATAACCAATAAGCACAAAATTATTGACTGGTCTTTCTCACAGTATTCTTTATCAGTTTTCAGAAAGGGGCTTCCAGTTGTTCATTGCATTTAAACTCCTACTTCAAATAATTCCTGGCAGGTTTACACTCCATTAATGTAATAATTTTTATAAGCCTGTACAGATATTTGACTTCCATCATTTCCTGTGGCAAAGAGCTTTACAAGTCAATTTTGTGCTGCATGAAAGTGTGCTTATATTTCATTTGTCAAGAAAAGAAGTAGAAAAAAATGCTTAAATATGCAATTTATAGAAATAATTCCAGATACACAGAAAAGCTAGACA